GTAGCCGGGCAGGACCAGGATGAACATGGAATCAGGAAGCTGATGTTGTACCATCCGAATGGTAACCTGCAGGCGGAGATCAATTATAAGAATGGGGTGGAACACGGGCCGGCAAAGTATTATTACGCCGGCGGATCGATCCGGAGAAGCACCAACTTTAAAAATGGCAGCCAGGATGGACAGGGTATCGACTATTATAAAAACGGCATCGTAAAATCGGAAGTTAATTATACAGACGGAACGCAGGACGGGCTTTACCGGTTCAATTATGCAAGTGGTATCCTTAACTATGAGGGCTGGATGAAAGGCGGACAAAAGCAGGGCATCTGGCGATATTATAATCCTGCCGGCAAGCTGACCACACAGCGGCATTTTGTAAATGATAAGCTCAATGGCCCGACCTATGCATTCCTGTCGAATGGTAAGCCCAATTACACGGATGTTTATGACCACGATATGCTGGTGGAAATGTTGCAGTACGACAGTACCGGCAAGGAAACGGCACATCAGTTTTTCCCGGGAGGAAACGGATTGTATGAGCTGAAATACCCGAACGGCAAGCCCAGCTTCTCCTGCCGTTTAAAGAATGGTGAGTATGATGGTGCCTTTACCAACTATCTGCCCAATGGTACCGTGATACACAAAGGGTTTTTCAACTACGGCCTGCGCGACAGCATTTATGAAAGCTATTCAAAGAGTGGTGTGCTGATTGCAAGAGTGCCTTATAAAAATAATAATCAACATGGCACCGCCAGTTATTATGACGAAGAGGGCAATCTCTGGAAAGAAATAAACTATGTTGCCGGTGAGCGAAGTGGTACCGAGAAAGTCTGGGAAAAAGGGCTGCTGCGCTATGAGCACCAGTTCCTGGAAGGCAACCGGGATGGGGTGCAGAAAATATATGGAGAGGCCGGTAAAACCGCCTGTGTGCTGTATTATACCAATGATAACCTGACCGGTTATGCTTACGAAGGGAAGGATGGGCAGCTCCTACCCGTTACCCCGGTAAAGAATGGCACTTGCAAGATCACGGCTTATTACCCGAACGAAAAGAAATCGGCAGAGTTGGAGTTTAAGGACGGTGTGTACAACGGGCGTCAGCTGATATATTATAGCAACGGGCAAAAAGCAGAAGAGCGTAACTTCGATAAAAGCGATCTGAACGGTCCGTTAAAGAAATGGGCACCGGCAGGAACGCTTACGTATGAGGCCGTTTACCGGAATGATGAATACAACGGTACGGAAACGGAATATGATAGCAAAGGTGCTGCGCTTTCGGTTATAGATCACCTGGAAGGCGGCATACCGCACGGAACGGCTATCTATACGCATCCGAAGACACGTAAAAAACTAACAGTTTACTACTACTATGGGCAGATCATCGATGCCCGGTAAAAGACAATAACGATCATTTTTTTGAGAAAGGTTATGTGGAAATGCATCACTGTAGGTGCCGTGCTTTTAAGCGCCGGGACGTTTACCTGTGCCGCACAGGAAGAAGATATGAAAGCGGTAGCGGCGCGTTATCCGAATGATAACGCTATTATCTGGAACCATGCCGAGCATGTGCTGTTCCGCTTTGACGACGGTAACCTGACCGCCAAAAGCAATACAACGGAGGAGATATTGTTACTGAAAGACGATGCGGCCCGTTATTACAACACCGGCACTATTTATCACAGCTCATTTCATAAGCTGGACAAGTGGCAGGCGGCTTCTATTGTCCCCGATGGGAAAGGCTATCGCACTATTAAGACAACCGATGCCAAAACCACACGTTCAGAAGATGAGAGTGTATTTTATGATGATGCCAGCCAGACGCGCATCACCTTTGGCAGCCTTTCTAAATATGCGCGTACCCGGCTTAACTATACCGTTGAGCATAGTGATATGCATTTTCTGCCCGGCTTCTATTTCCAGAGTGGCGTGCCCGTTTACGAGGCCAGCTTTAAGGTCACCGTACCCAGGGGCGTAAAGCTACGTTATATCATGAGGGGGCAGCACCAGGACCTGGTAAAGATGAGTAAGGAGGAGGGGCGTAATGAGACTACCTATATCTGGACCGCTAATAACGTACCCAAAAACAAAAGTTATGACGATGGCCCTGCGGCGGCCTACTATATACCGCATGTGCTGATCTATATAGACAGCTATCAGTCGCGGAGCCAGGATAGTGCAACGAAGGTATTCTCTAAGGTAGAAGACCTTTACCGGTACTACTACCCATTCATCAAAAAGATAAATAGCAAGCCGGATGAAGCGTTGACAAAACTAACGGCGGATGTGGTTAAAGGAGCGGCCTCCGACCGTGAAAAAGCAGCGCGTATTTACCGTTGGGTACAGCAGAATATTAAATACATTGCCTTTGAAGATGGCATGGGCGGCTTTATCCCGCGCGAAGCTGCTGCAATCTGTTCCCGCCGTTTTGGCGACTGTAAAGATATGAGCAGCCTGCTGGTGGCCATGTGCCGCAGTGCCGGCCTTGATGCTTATTTTACCTGGATCGGCACACGCCGTAAGCCTTATACTTATGAAGACGTGCCGCTGCCCATTGTAGATAATCATATGATCTGTACCGTGAAGCTGGGCAATGAATATGTATTTATGGATGGCACCGATCCGGTGATCCCCTTTGGGGTGCCGCCTGCGGCCTTGCAGGGCA